CCTCCCCCAATCCACCTTCTTCCCACGCCGGCCCCGACCTCCTCGATCCACCTTCTTCCCCCGTCGGCGCCGCCCCACCCGTACCTGCTTCTTCCCCCGCCGGCGCCGCAGGGCTGCACCTCCGAGTGCCCTCAGCTTGGTCTCCCGTCGCCCCTGCCCACCGTCACCCATCCCCCACGCCCGGATCCGCAGCTCCTCCTCGATGTGGATCAAGCCTGTGTCGCCGGACCACTTCTCCTGGCCTACCTCCCTCCGCTTCTGTCACGGGACGGCGACCGGCCATAGCGACGACGGGCTTTGCCTCTCTCGCTTGACATCCGCAGCGGAGGCGCAGCTCCTCCCCCGCGCAGCCCAGGTGCTCCCTTCCTCCACCCTGCTTCCCCGTCATTGCAAAGTTGACAAAAAGCGCCAGGTAGCCATGGAGTTTTCATCTTTGTTTTTTGATTTCCTTCCCAATTCCTTTCTTGCACTGCAGTTCGCTCTGCCCACTATGTCCATCCCCTCGCATGGCGTGCAGTTTCCCGGTGGTGCGCTGGTGGTTTCCCCAAGTTCAGTAGCTACTTGCCCATGTTGTCGTTTGAGTTCGCTGGAGGGACAGAGGAGGTGCTCTCGTGAGGGGAAGCCGGCATCGTGACCATGCCGTCCAAATGGCACCGCACTGCAATCCCACTTCTTCACTGTGTTCTGGTGCCGAAAAAATTTTCAGGGACCCAAAAATTCTTTTCAATTTATGTTTGATGTGCACACAGTAACGCAGGAGAAGAGAGCAGATCGCACCCCCGCAGGGCCACCAAGTTCGTGGTTCGCCGCCCCTCTGTCCCCCTCTTCCACCTCCCATCCTCCGTCGCTGGAGCAGCACGGTCATGGGCGTGCAGTGCACTGCGACTCCTCGTGCAGTGCAGATCGGGCATCAGGTGGTTAGGTTGCCGGGTATGTGCAGTGAGAAGAGCCATCACATCGGATTTTTCGGACTGCTGGGCTGCCGCACCCGAGCACCTGCGTCCCGAGCCATGAGATCAAGGACGAGCAGCAGCTTGCTAGGCTTGGGAGTTAACAATTTTTTTGTGTATTTCCTGTTGATTTTGGTTGTGCAGTCCACTACGTGAGTGGAAGCAGCACACCCGTCGGCACCGTGCAGTCCCTGGGCTTGGATCTCACAATTTTGTGTGTGTTTTTCAGCTTTTTTGTTGTTGATTTTGGTCATGTCCACCGCGTGAGTGTAAGCAGCACAGCCGGCGGCACCGTGCAGTCGAGTATGTGGGTGGAAGCAAACCATGTGCACGACGCAAGCGTTTCGTGCGGTGCGGACGTGCAGTTCGCCGGCGACGACGCCCTGGAACAGTAGCCGCCCATGCGCAATTCAGAAAGAGCTTCTTTTGCTCTTTTTTTCTGTAGATTTCTAACAACATTTATTGCTCTGTATGCTACCCAAGTTTGTTGCTCCACTGTGTATATTACCTGCTTGCTCGTGATGGACATTTGTTGGTTCATTGTGCTAGCCAATCATTTCACTACTGCAGTATGTTTCAACTTATGAGGTTCCATCAGTCTGCGAAAATGCATTCTTTCATGCACATTGCCCTGTTGAAGCTAGGGTCCAGTGCAAATGTGCAATGCTTTTGCTGGGAAAACTTGTTGCTGTAGTACTAAGCATGCAGCGACTGAAGCAAAGCAGTTGGTTGCTTGCTTGTTGGAGATCTCAGTCGGTCAGGTCAGTGCAGCAAAAGTAGGAGCTGGGCAAAGGTTAGCATTGACCTAGGAATTCATTTAAAAAATCATGCAGATGCGGTGCACTTTGGTCTTGAAAAAAGTCTACTATGAAGGACTCTTCAGTACAGTCCATTTCAAACAAAATGTACTTAAAAAACATGCAAAAAATGCAGTGCACTTTGGTCTGAAAAAAGTCCACTACGAAGGACTTTTCAATACACACATTTTAAAATAAAAATGCATTTAAAAAATCATGCAAACGCAGTGCGCTCTGGTCTTGAAAAAAGTCCACTACGAAGGACTTTTGTACAATCCATTTAAAACAAAAAATGCATTTAGAAACCATGCAGCTCGCTTGCCCCGTTGCCCGTCCGATGCAGTGCGGTTTTCATTCTGAAGCAGTGCGGTCGGCCGTATGATGTTCATCCCGTAAGTGCAAAAAAATTGTTACGAAAGCGAAAAAAAGTAATGCGGTTCACTTCTTGATAGTGTTGTGGTTCATTCACACCCGATGTGAAGTGCACTCTACTTTCTCGTCCTTGAAAAAAAATAAGTTTGAATAAAAGAAACCATGCAATTCTCTTACCCGTATGATGCAGTGCGGTTTTTCGTTCGTTGCAGTGCGGTTTTCAGTCGGATGAAGTACCCACGTCGATCTGAGTGTCACGAAAAACAGAGTGTCCGCATTTCGGTAAATTCGAAATTCCTCTTAAACCGTAAAGAATTAGAAAGAGTGTTCTACATGAAAGAGTTGCGCATCGTCGATATATTTCCAACGGCGTATCGTTTGAATCATTCCGACCAGCTGTTTACAAAAATTTCGCCAAAAACGGCCGATGCCACTCGTCGTCCGCCGCACAATTTTCAAAATTAACTTAAAACCGTAAGGAATTTCAAAACTATTTCAACATATGAAAGTTGCGCCTCGTTCGTAGCTTTCCAACGGCGTATCGCACGCCTCGTTTCGACAAACGGTTCAAAAACTGGAGGGAAAACATTATCAAAAATTTAAATTTTTTTGAAAAACAGAATTCCGCGATTTAGTAAATTTGAAACTGCTCTTAAACCGTAAGGAATTAGAGAAAAATTTATATATGAAAAAGATGCGCCTCTACGATATCTATCCTATGGCGGAACGTTTGCTTCATTCCGACGAGCGGTTTAGAAGAAATCACGAAAAAACGCTCGCTGCCACTCGTCATGGGCCGCACCATTTTCAAAACTGCTCTTAAACCGTGTGTAATCTCGAAAA